TTTTAATATAATTAATAATTTCATATAAAATCAAATTATTTAAAAATGTAGATAGATATAAAATTAATAATATTTTAATTATACTATTTAGGTTATCGTTGCTTGAGTACTCATTGCTTATCTTTTTAGTAAGGTGCAATTTTTTTCTGAATTTGTTTCTGAATTTTAGAAGGTGCAATCTCTTTAGGCATGAGACTGCTTCATGTACATATGATGTTGTAAATAGGTCGATAGGTTGGTGAAGATTTCATTTCTATTTGTCATAATACTTCAATCATTTTTATTCAGATGGTTATTATGACGGCATACGATCGATAACAAGTTTATCTAAGTTGAGGAAGTACATTTTTACTTTTTGGGGGAGAATACTAAATTTCTAATGTATTGTGACTTGATTTCATAAAGCATTTAAATTTTGAGTATTAGTATGGGTATGAATATTATTATTAATATTAGTATGAGTATTAGTATTAGCATTAATGTTAGTATTAGTATTGGTATTAGTACTAATACTAATACTAATACTTTTTTTTCCCTAAAAAAAGTATTAGTATTAGTATTAATATTAATATTAGTATTATTATTAATATTAGTGTTAATATCAGTATCAATATCAGTATTTGGTGGCGACTGCTAAAACATTGGATAAAGCAGAACACTCAGAAAATCAAGAAGACTCGGTTTAGTATTAGTATTAGGATTAGTATTGGTATTAATATTAATATTAATATTAATATTGGTATTAGTATGAGTATTAGTACGTTTATGTGTATGATTATATATTGTTATGAGTATGAGTATGAGTAGGAGTATGAGTATGAGTATGAATATTAATATTGGTATTGGTATCGGTATCGGTATCGGTATTCGTATTCTTATTGGTATTGGTATTGGTATTAGCATAGGTATAAGTATTTGTGTGGGTTTTAGTATTTGTATTGATATTGATATTAATATTGATATTAGTCTTGGTAATGATTTTAGTATTAGTATTGATTTTTGTATTAGTATAGTATTAGTATTAGTATTAGATGAATATTAATATTAGTATTATAGTTGACATGGACTATTATACATTGTAAGATGGAGAGTTAAGAGTATAGGTGGCATAAAGATATTCATCAAGTAGGAATAGACGATTAATATTACTTGCAATATTGTCTACTAGGAAGTTCTTCAAGGAATATGAATGTACATCATAAAAATTATATATATATTGTGATTCAAATACACATTTGTTGTTTGTATTTTTTATATGTATAATTATTTTACCGTGTTAGTTTATTTGCACTTTATGCTAATTTTATTGTCTACTTCACTGAATTTGTTCTTTTTTAATCAAGATGATTTAGTAGAAATTGTATTTATTTTTTACACTTTTAGTAGATTATGTTTCAATAATGTGTATCACTGATTGCATTTAAACAATGAAAATTGTTCATGTTACTCGAGAAGAGAATTATAGGCGATATTAATGTATGTGCTGTAAAATACTTCTTTGAGAATTAAGTTTATGTTAAGGATCCGAGTGTATTGGACGAGATAGTTACCATTTTGGTCAGATAATGTATCTTAATTTTTATATCACTATTATTTTCGTATTTTATATTTTCTTTTTTCATGTACTATGTTTATATCGGTACTTAAATCAAAAGGAACTGCTATTGTTTTTAAACTTTTTAGATTATATCGCAATATATATTAACTATTCAAAGTTTTCGTTCGATTATTTTATGATTTTATCTAAAACATATTTTTATTTTTTATATTACTCCCAGGGCGATTAACATCCTCTTTTTATTTATAAAGGTGTTTGATTTACCTCATCGTCGTATTTTAGTCATTAAAAAATTGTACTTAGAATTGATCCACGTGCATCGCACGGGTGAGTTACTAGTTAGTATTTATACAAATTTAATAGCACAAACTCACTCCGGAAAAATATATATATAAACTTAATTGTCATAATATGAAATTAATCCTTAAATAAATGAAGCAAAGAACAATTAGACGAAATAGACTGAAAATATGAGATAACAATAATACTAACGATTAAAAAAGATCTAGAGGTAGTGGATTAGGATTGTGCTAGTCAATATTTTGTGTGAAAATAATTGGGAAAAAAAAGGTGGCCGCAAAATTGGATATCGATATGCCTAATTACGCCAGCCCAATGCGCCTACAATTTTCAAACTTATTGGGCTACGTGCCCAAATTTGAAGAACACTACAACGGAGGCCCAATCACTTTTAAATAAGGTTTGGGCCCAATTACAGCCCAACAGATTGCATATGAATAAATGTTATAATTCATTAAGATACATTCAATATCTAGTAACGCTGCTCTCCGAATTATCGCTACAATTTTACAATCCACACGCCTGACTTAAGCGTTAGAGGGGTTCCCGTCGGCAACCCCGGCTTAGTTACGTGTTTTTTTATCACAGGTATCTCGGTACCATCAAACTTGTGAGCTGGCGATTCACTTTGCTATTCCAGCTCATCCTATTCCAACTACCCTAGATGATCTATCTAGATTGTCCTAACATTTCTTTCTTTTATATATAAAAAAATTGTAGCTAGACGTTAGTTGGAATTAATTATAAATAGAAGGGATATGGGAGTAGCTAGATTGGTCGAAGATCTTGTGTGTAATTTTACACCCAAATTATCAGTACAACTATATTGCTTCTTATTCTCTTCGATCTCGTTCATAAGAAGTGGCCATCGGAGCACGATCATGGCGCATAATCTCTGAAAACCCAAGGAACGGCGAAGAAAAATAGGAACAAAGTAGAGGTTGTGGAGCAACAACTCGGTACAATGGAAGAACAGATGAAATCGATGGAACAACACGTGGCTAGCTTATTTGAAGGACAAAATATTTTACGATATGAGTTGACAACTGAATTCGAAGAGAGGATCACAGAAGCTGCGCGAAGAACTGATTCGTCATTTGATGAAATGTCCAAGCGTTTTGATGAGCTAGGGTGACTCATGGCGAGAATCTGCGGTAAGGATTCAATCTCTAATGGCGGATCTCCGTCCAGTCCGATCAATACAGCGTGTGGTCGTCCGGAGGCGAGTACACCATACACGGTTCCGATACATCGACAGACGAAAGGGAATCATGGTTACGGGGGAAATAATGTTCAAGTTCATAAAGTTCCAAAATTAGAGTTCCCAAGGTTCAACGGGGAGAATCCACATGGATGGATTCGTAAATGTCAAAAGTATTTTTACAACAATAGAATGACTGATCAGAAGAGGATCGTATATGCTTCAATGCATAAGGACGGAAAAGCGGATCATTGGTTTGCGGATTATTTAGAAGGCAACGATCCACTAGACCGGCATACTTTTGTGGAGCTAGTGATGGAAGGCAACACTGTCAAGAGACTTCAATGTACACTGAGGTATGTCACTAATATTGTAATAGCAATATCAATATGAATAATATCAGTATTACAGGTGGCATTGACAATTGTACGTCACAATGTCTGAGAGCTAAAAATTGAGGTGACATAAAAATATTCATCAAGTTGAAATCAAGTTATCAAGTTTGAGTAGCAGTGTTTTCTAACTGGAAATTTTTCAGCTAATATGAAGGTGATTGATTATAAAAACTAATATTTAATAACAATATAATGTTTATTTTTATTACTTATATGTTTGATTATTCTTCATTTGTAGGTTGATTTGCATTGTGTTGAACTTAAAATGGACTTAAGTTCGATTTCCCATATCAAGAATTTCGATTTCGAGAGAATAATTTTAAACGGATTTCTATAAAATAAACGGTAAATCCCAAAATCGAAAAAAAAAGGTAGGTAAAGAAACGGTAAATTAGAATTGGAAATTACCAGCCAATCCCACAAGCCAGTGTTGACAAATTCCTTAGGAATGGTAACATCTCCAATGCACAATGAACTGTTTGTATTTCCAGATATTCCAAAGTGTATCACTCCTTTTATGTTGAATATATCCACCATTTGTTGTGTTGCACTTGCAGCATTCACCTAATACACATAATTACATACCACTCCATTATTGTACACATATTTACATACCACTCCTCTTACCTTTGGTCCTCATACAATTAAACCCTCCAACCTTTCTAATATTACATACCCCTTATTAATAATAGGGTCAGCGGAGGCCATGCCCCCCCTCAAATTTTAATTTTTTTTTACTACTACAGTCTATATATGCATGAATAGTTTTTTTGCGTTTGCATTGTCCTCCCATAATAAATGGATCTAACACTTAGATTCACCGGTGCTGGAACAATCATTGTTTTCATTAATTTTTTTTTACGTTATATTTCAATACATATTCGGCCCCCTAATGATGAAATCCTAGCTTCGCCACTGATTACGGCCAACCCCTGAGGTAAGGTCAAATTATGAAAAGAAGTCCTCTTGTTTGGGTAATTACAATCACCACATTAACTATGTATTATCTTACATGTCTACCCTTACGGTGTCAAATTAACCTACTGAAGGAGGAAGTTTTTCGTAAGACAATACATAATTAAGGAAGGTGGTTATAATTATTCAAACATGGAGGGATTATCATAATTTGACATTACCCAGGGGTAGCCTTAATTTACACTTAATAATAACACATGCAATCCCAGCAGTTAGTGTCCATAAGATTTTGTATTCACCAACCACCCATTTATCTACTCTAATTGTTAGAGAGCTCTTACTCCCCCATGTTATATTAATTAGCAAAATCTCCCCTGTAGTTCAATTTTTTTAGCTATATAAGTCCAAGTTTTGTCACAATTTCAATAAACCTCCCCCAAAGTTAGTTAAAATTCACACTTAACCCCACAAGATATGCCCAAAATAATAAGATAATAGGATAAATGAAGAATTTAAATTAATTAGTTGTATAATTTTCAAATATTTGCTAACTTTTTATTTTTCCCCACAAATCTCTTTTGAAGGAAAAAAGCTTAATTACTTGTGCACACATTCTACTTTTATTAATACAGTTAATTAATCGTCAGTGAAACAAAAAATGGAGGAGATTGGGGGAAGAAGAAGATCGGGAAATCAAACATCCAAACCCTTCAATTCCGTCCGTTGACGTTGGTCAACACCGACAAGGTACAATTTCTTGAATCATTTGCTTTTCTTTTATACATATATATAATAATTCGGTGAGATTGGCATGAAATTTGATGCGTATGATCGAATCTCACAGCATTGTTATTTGGGGGGAATCTATTGTGTTCTTATTTGACATAAATAAATACTATTTTGATTTTTTCAACAAATTAAGAATTTGTATTGGGGTTTCAGGAGGAATTTTTTTTTTTTTTTGCTTTTTTGATTTTATGTATATTTCTGTTTGCTGCTGTATGCATTTTGCAAAATGCTCCTTGGTAGAGTAAACTTTCCGGTTTTTTCAATTGAACTCGTTTGTATACGACGATTATATATATCCAGTATGGCCATTTTATTTGAACTCAATTTTACCAATATATAATTAGTTTCTAAAGCATGGTACTCAATGATTAGTGGCTTCTAATCACATTGTTATATAACATGATTACGTATCGGGTTCACCTGTTTTCGTTAACTTCCCACTTATGTTTACTGTCCCTCATACAACCAACCGAGTAATTGAGGCATGCTTAAAAACATTTCTTGTTTCAAGTAAATTTATGCAAAGTATTTCCCAACAGTCCTTTCGACCAACTATATGTTGGGATGTAGTGAATTGCATTATTTTTTTGATGAGCCGTGTCTGGGTGATGTTTTATTCTCGATGATTTAATGACTTGGGCCTTGGGGTAGAAAATGACGCCAGGTTTCGGAGAGTACCTATCACCTTTAGGCCCTTAAATTTAATTTGTTTTTCAAGCACCGAATCACAGAAAACAAATTAATGTTCTCATAGTTCATTAACATATTACATCTCCTAATGAAACAAAGGAAAACTGCAATACTGTATTAACTTTCAGAATAGAGCAGAATATTTCTCAGCATGAACTAGGAGTTGGAAGGTTGACTTGGTGTCGTGAAAGATAAACGCGGGTTTCTGTGGAGAGAATCGTTTTTGGGGGTTAAAAAATCACGGAAAGAGTTTCAAAAGGCTTCCAGTAGCTTTTATATTTGAGTCATACAGTATTTGACTTATATTCTATTCTTTTTTAAATTTCTTTAAATGTGAACTACAGGTGGGAAATAATTTTGTGGTATTATAAGACCATCAATAGCTGAGTTCTTCTCTTGTGAATGAAGGACAGAAACCTGAAATTTACCAGTTGACTTTCGCATTATTATTTATGACGTCAACTAGCAACTCAAAAGGCATTGTAGAGGATGATGACGAAGAAGAGGAGGTATGATATATACTTTATTACCATTCCTCTCGTAATATGTTTTATGCATGCGTGATAGAATCTGTATTTCTTGTTTTCTTCCCTTCTATTGTCTTTGCAGTTTCAGCATTTTGATGACTTTACTGTTGCCTCTTCATGGGAAAGGTACGATATTCTCTTGTGGAAACATATATTAACTACAAGACTCCAATAATGGTGTTACCGATTGTCCTTTTTTAGGTTCATTTCTGAAATAGAGGCTGTCTGTCGACAGTGGTTGGCTGATGGTACAAAGAATCTATTGGTATGTTCGGTTCCGATGCGTAACTGTTTAAGTTAGACTATTCGTTTTTCCCTGTGTGGCATTATATTTTATGTAATATTTGATCATTTTCCCATATTCGTCAATGCATTCATTTATATTTCTATTTCCCGTTTGAACTACACCGCATCAAAATTGGATCCGTCGTACATGGTTATGTTTCAGTTTCTACTGTGTATGACGCCAAACGACATCAATGAGGCAGCAGTGGGGTATGGTAAACTCTGCTCTTGGTTCCATCTAAAGTAAATTAGTGCATGATTTCTCCGGAATTGTGTTAGTCTACCAAAAGTGATTGTTCAACTCTAATTTATATGTGTAGTATACATGTATGTGTAAGTCATTTAGCACGTGTGATCCCATTTTCTCCTAGCTTCTACTTTTAAGCTTGAAAATGGAAGGATACCCAAATCTTATACCCTTTCAGAAAACATTTATAAATTTGTGTCAACCGAAGTAGGATTTTAGAATCTGGATGGACACAGTATATCTTTCCTTGGTGCAGTTGTTTGTGAGTTTTGACTGAAAAATATAATATGTTGGAATTTGAATACCGTTTACTGTATCCTTCACAGATTTTGCATTAAATGATTTAATCAAATGTAATATATTGTATTGTCAGTTAAAATATCTAAATCCATTTACAATTATCTTATTGTTTCTTGCCCCATCCAATGTTTCTTCAAAACACTGTTTGCACAATGAATTTTGGGAAGAAGATTTTGTGTTAATAACAAATATCATAGTTGTTTAAAATAGAAGTTTTGACGAAGAAGATTGATTTTGTTTTGATGCCCTATTGTATTGTTGCATGTGACAAGATATACTTTTCAGTCTAGCTTAAGTCCTCTTCTATTTGGTATA